TTATCAAACCCGCATCTGAAGCGGACAAGAACGCTGTGGCAATTAATGAGCCGTCACGCATCATCTAGAACTAGAAATGAAATCAAATTAAAGAGTTTACCCATAAGTCTCTTCTTCCGGATTGTTCACTGATGGTTTCTAGACAAATGGTAACTCAGAATTGAACAAATGTATTATAAATAATAAATCACCACAAAACAGGCAATTGTTCTTGAAATACCTCCAAAAGTGGTCTGATAGGGCTGCCGGATGAGCCAAAGACCAGGACTCGCTCGGACCCGCCCAACGAGCAATGGCCATGTCAAAAAATTTCGCAGCCCGTTTTGAGGCAACGTCCACTTCGGCAGGATTGAACACCCCTCAATGGTCTCTGAACAAAGGTGTCGGAGACTGCGCAGAAGGCGCATCTATCTCCGAATCTGTGGGCCGGCGCCCAATTCCAGCACACGAGGAAGTTGCGAACGCTAGAAACGCAGACAGTATGCACGGTTTTCGATCCAAACTAAGAAGACAGGCCCAACACTGTAATGGCTTATAGGGATGAAGCGCTACCCTCACGAATCTCCATAATAAGAACACTGCAGGTCATGCTGAGTGGTTTGTCTTCTTGACTTCTTTAACTCTGCATCCAGCAGTCATGCGTTAGTCAAAAGCAATGATGATGACTATCAAGGCAGTACGTTACTATTAAGCGAATGTAGTAAAGAATAAACAATGTACAAACCTCAACAATAGATAAGCCAAGTCAAGAGGCAAGGGAATCGTCCAAATCGCCTGACTCTATACAAGGGAACGACATAAGTTCAACAATAACACCACATAGTGCTATACTAGTCTTGGAAACATCATGTGTATTAGTGGGAGAAGGGACGAGTCTCTGATTTGATATGATTTCAGGAGGCCATTGATATGGCCTCAGGATTGGTCTGAAACACCTGCGCGGCAAAAATTTGGAGAGGGCTCCAAGCGCTTGATGTCAGCGGTGATGATATCTGTAATCAAAACGGAAGGGGAGACAATAGCAAGTAGCTCTTGAAACAGTTGTCCCTCGATGCAGTTGGGGGGGGGGCAGAAGCATTATGGGAGAATGTGATTAAAAGGTAATAGAGCCGAACGGGAGGTGGGGACAGTATTCAAGTATCACTTAAGTGGTACTTCATCCTGGGACTAGTTTTAACATCAGCGTGCATTCTATTGGAAACGAAAAAGGTCAACAGAAACATAATTTTTGGAGAAAGGGAACTCGGGCACGCAGTTCAGAGGACCAGGTATCAGCTTTTCGTAAAAGGTGACAATTGAATGGGGTCTGGTTGATGTAAGTGGAATTTGACGTGGAAAATTTTCAACTGTTTCAGCTAGAAATAACCTTGGAGAAGCACCGTCACTGGCCAGATTGACCATTCAATAAATCCCCCAAGACAAATCTCTTGTGGCTAGTTAACAAGGTGTGTTTATCCACAGGCTTCCTGAACCAATTAACAATAGCTATAAATGTAGAATAAGTGATGCTTTCACGGCCTTGTGGGAGTGTTTGGATAAAATAATAAATAGGGCTGATAAATTTAAGATACTGAAACATTTCTGACTAAACGGTAAAAAAAATTGAGAAAACATCGGGGCGTTTAAAATTATTTTTAAGTGCAAACTTCAGAAGAAGGACATAGTGATTTTTTAGGGTGTCCGACGATGTGATACTAAGGCGGTCCCCGAACCTTAACAGTTTCCATACGAACACGGCTTGACTGTCTTTAATTCCTTTCCTCTGTATTATAGAGAAGATAGAGGTGACTTTAAAGCAACGCTTCCGTTTCTAAAGTGACCTGATCTGGATGTCAAGCGTTTCAAACGGCCCCAAAAAGGAACCTCAGAAGACAGGTTTGTCAGTTGATGAAGGAACTGATCTGCATAAAGCAACGCTGATCCTTCTACTCTCAAAGAGTATATTGACAGCGGGACTCTTTGCCAGCGTGCGTTGGGCATTCCCCCATTGTGAGCGTGTTCATGAGACGCCTGGCCACCCCAAACATTCAACCCCATTCCTAACAGAAACATATGCTACTTACTTGTTTTCAACAACAACATTAAAGTTGGCGGCCGAGAACCTATAAAAGGCATAAAATGCATATTTAAAAAACACAAATGGTCAAAACGGTGAGGCATTGACGAATTAGCAACGGGGAACACATTCACTGCACCTCCACTTATACGAATTTAGTTTTGGAGTAGCATTATCACAATGGACAATAGTAAACGATGTTATCACATTAATTGTGAACGAGAAGATAGGCGGTGTAAAAAAACACTTACTCTTAACCGATGGTGGATATTAATAGTCTTCCCTGTACGTAAGTACAGTTCCATTAGGAGACGGAAATTCAAAAAAGTGTATGTCTTTAGCGTTAACGGAGGAAACCGTGGGGTACGCCAACATTTTATCGTGATTAAAATGAGAATCATATTCGTACGCGCGTGTAAACGGTGGGTTTCAAGGTGAGAAGTTAGTTTAAGAAGTAAGCAAAAGTATGAGAAGAAGGAGGGAACTGATAAATTTTGTTAAACAATTGTCAAAAACTAATTATTAAGCAAAGCATATGTGATCGATAACAAGATGTCAGGTGTATATGTACTGTCGTGATGGGTACAACACCGCTGAAGACATCAGTCGAAGACATACTGTAGGTGTATGCAGTAGTTCTGGTTTTCCTCAACCCTAGTCGTTAAGCGACCGCCTGAGGTTAGACGTCTGGGAACGAGACACACATGTATAGCCTTCATTGGATTAACATTACACCATAATGACGCATGCTGGGATGGGGACAGTGTGTAGATTGCCTTGAAATTCATACAAAATATCCTTTAGAAGGCAACAGCGTTTGTTAATTTCAAGCAGCAGAAGATGAAGGAGGTGTAAGTAGATGACGGTTATCGTTGCTCAAAAGGCTAACGAGTATTCCATTAGCGTGTTGTAGTTGGTATCTTTGGCGGCGTATTTAGCGCGAATGGTCAGCTTTCGATTTTTGCTCCAGTGTTTTTTCATGTGTATATTGCCCTTCCAGTGGTCACCCAGAGAGTCTATTTGAGTCCATTTATCACACAAGACCACGGCTACGGCAATGGCATTCGGTACGCTGATGGTTAAGAGCAGACTACGCGGGGATTCACTGCCCAACCTATCATTGTCATCTCGACCATATACCATCGGCCGGAGTCTTTAGGTAGCAGCCAGAGTACCAGTGCTCAAGCTGCTTCGGAAGAGACATCACCAGGCTGTGCAACCAATGAGAGCTGGAGGCTTTAATTTGATTACTGTGCGCGTTACGCAGGGAATCGTTGCCGTCACTGGCAGGCAGGGCGTAGAGCTCCAGCTTGAAGGATCCACTCTATGGAAATGGAGGAGGATTGGCAATGTGGGATTAACATGCAAATGGTCGATATTATCCTCCCAACAGCAGAGCATATATGTTGCTGATGTATCCAAATCTGGAATCGATAAGGTAGATCCCTAATACAAAAGACAAATTAGGAAATTGGCACTCAGAGTGATGAAGCTAAGGTAGTCTGTTTAGCAATAGCTGGCTCATGGAGTTTTAAAAATCCTAAAACTATCTTGTGGAAACGAACTAGCCGGGATCGCGTTAGCTTTAAGGGATCTCCCACAGAAACGGAAAAGTTAGGTAAAATATCGCACTATCTAATGAAGTGTGAAGCGTAGTTCAAAAATACATTTTCAATTTGGAGAAAAAAAATTATTGAGCTTGACTTGTAATATTGATTATCAGTCAGCATAATACCATTCTACTTCAGATGCGAAAGAATCTCGGCTTTAGAATAGAAGTGTCTTTGGTCACCCGTAAAAACTAAACTCCGAGAAAAGATGAATATTGATGCATCATTTATTTGTCTCATTAATTGTATATTCTCTTATAACTCGAAACATATTTTAAGGAGATGACTAATTTTGCATTCGATCTGCAGGCGGAGTTGTCCTGATGGCTTTGAATTTCCTGGTTGTATGTGTTTGTGTAGAAAAGTACATTTAAGAATTGCGACTTATATGTAATGAGAAATATCTAGTTGGCTGGGATCGGAAATATCCAAGGTATCTTGGAAGCGGTTTGCCCCAATCTCTTCTAGTTGCCCGAACGAAAATGCAAACGCACTCCACGTACAAAACAGAACCCATAGGTTGGTTTACAAACATAACCTGCGTTCACATCTTAAGACCTGGAGTGAGTCTAACTGATGTTGGTCCCCTGGGAAACAGTCAACCTTGAGGTAAACGGACTTCTGGTGGACAAGCGCATATGGGTTACACTTACCATCGATTTCAGTCAAGGCAGTCTGACATGCCTATCCAGCCCACAAGTGTGCCCAAACATCTCCAAGATAGCTGGAATACACTCAAGACATCGCTACATTGTATTTAACTATTAAAATCTGCGTATTCGTGAATGCTTGTTTTTTTCGACTGCATGTCCAAGCACGTTCCACTTCTATGCACGTGATACAAACATATCACAGGCCAATATATTGAAGTTTTCAGAATACATTGATTTCCCTTAATGTCCATACTTCTCACGTTTTACATATAAAGTGGTTAATGTTACGCTAAAACATGCCAAGCCTTGGTAGAGGTGGTGATTTAGAAGAATGGTAGTTTATCTCATACAAAGCGAATATTACCTCTAGTAACGGGACAAATTATATTGTCTGAAAAATATGCCTGGATATCTACAATTCGTTAGGTAAACCATGCACTGAGTGTTCGACGTGCACATAAAACACCCAGGGTAGTATGAGATCGGCATTAAGCCTGATTTGATTACTACTATCAATTAAGTGCAGTTACCTCTCCGGAATAATTAATCTTGATTGACATTTCTTACAGTATCTTGGCATTTTACAGCGCTTACGCACCGCTTCCTATACGATAACTTCTCGTTCCAAACTTAATGCACATGGATGCACATTGTTTTGGAAATGTATGTGTCTGACCTTAGCATTTCATTTCGGATCGGCTAACACCTATCTGCAGGATCGGCTAAACACAGATGAGCATTTTGACGTATTTTAAAGAATTGCATGCTATTACTGACCCTAAACTTACGTATGCCAGAGAAAACAACGAGTCGTCTCGCAAATACGTGAAAAAAAGGTTTTCTTCTGCGACACGAAGCACTACCTAAAATCGTCACTCACAGACTGTACGAAAGCTATGAGTTTGACTTTATCGGTAAACGGATGTTGATGCCAACGGCCCACAGGACTGGACACGATGTGTTAGAGGCGTGGACACTCCAGAAGCAGACACATCGATCCACTCTTCCGTAATCAGGAGTTCTACCCAGACATACCACTTGCGGGTTTCACATACTACTCATAGATGTCCGCCTTCACTATGCATTGAAACCAGTGTGAGTTACGTGGTGCTACCTCTAATCATATCCCGTCACTGTTCCTTATTTTTAAATAGAACAATGGATCACCTGTTGTTGCGCTCGTACGACCTCTGATGATGTACTTTTACACGAGTGTGAAATCACCGTCTGAAAAATATACTGTTTCATTGACTGAGCCTTCATATTATTTGAAGTTAAGTCGCTTACCAGTAAAGCGGCAAAAAATACGGCCAGGGACATAATGATGTAAAGTAATTGAGTAATTTTAGGTTAATCACAGATCACAAGCCATCACTAACATATAGACGTTACTGGAAACGTACATAAGGTCATAACGAACATTAAAATCCAATATTTGCAGGCATCAATTTAAAAATCAAATAATGTGATAGGGTGGTTTTAACTGGTTGTGCACAGAAGTCCCGTCACGAGGTACACAGGTCGTGTAAGTAAAGAAGCTGGCCAACAAACCTCTGCATTTTCGACACTATCCTAAATAATATAATTGATGGCAGGTAACGGAAGGCGTGTGAAGGTTCATTGCAAACCTGCATGTTCAACATTTGGACATCGAAATCTTTTAATTAGTTTGCGTGCTATTTGTAATGCGGGAGCTGAGTTGTACTTGGCGTTTGCAAAGGTATTCGTAGTAAACCTGCTTAGGTAATCAAAAGACTTACATAAAACCCAGAAACAATTCACTTGCTTTCTTATATGGTGACACGAGTTAGATTGTCTAAGAGTTTTAGTAATTAATAGAGTGTATAGATTTGAAGCCAAAGGTTCATTAGTGATAAGGCCGCCTTGAAATGAGATATAAAAAGCAGTTTGAGTTCACAGTTAGTAAATTCTGCAACCCTTTCTCAGGATATTGGTGCCCATGTATGGATGCATGGGACATTTTTACGATCATCGTGATTCAGTGACGGTATTGGGGACAGGGGTACAGATCGTAGTGTTGCCGAATCTGGCGGTATCTGTACACAATTCAAATTTTGCTAATTTGCACAGTGTTGTACATATACACGAATGTGGTCTTCCTTCTACCTGATTTTAGCAAACTGCATTCGAAAAAGCGTGAAACTAAGCATTTGGACACATTACCATACAAGCCATCGCTAATACACCGGAGTGCATCAAGTGTCTGAAGTATTATCGATTGGAAACATTGCGCGCGCCACAATTTAGGAGCAGTGGGATGTATTGGTATTGAATGTAAACGGCGTGCGTTTCAACAAACTTCGCAAATTTGACTAAAAATAATTCCTTAAGAATCAAGCAGGGCAAGCTTGTTCTACGCCCATAAATGGCCGCATATTTTGACCTAAGTTTACTCATATACACAGTCCAAGTTTGCATACGTGTGCTGAGTACTAAAGAAGTAATTCTTCCTGATATAACTCGAACAGCAGTGGTCTGGTGGTTTGATGGTATCCGATATTTAAAGCATTTTTGTTTCCCAGGTGCACATTTGAAGCCAGCGTTAACAGCAGCATTTATTTGTAAAAATAAATTTCGGGAGGCCTTGCGAACTGCCTCTTTTCTTTGCATGAACAACATAACAATACAAGCGAACATGCGAGTCCCACGAAGTAATTGAGAGAAAGACGACTCGATCGCCGGGTCAATACTTTTATTCGCCTGACGTTTCGATATAGGTCGCGGATTCGTCATCAGACATATTTTCAGAAAGCAATAGCAGATAGGGTAGCATATGCACAGTTGTTTGCATTATTTATGGGAAACGGTAATTACTGCAAACATACAGGCGAATGTCAGGCCAATAAAAATATTGTCCCAGCGATCGATCCGTCTTTTTCTCAATGAAATAAAAAATGGAGAACGCAGCATTTTGAAGTTTCGCCGAATCAGTAATAGCAAAGACATTTTATCGCGGCGAATGCTTAATAGTTATGTTACCTTTAAACTTGGGAAGGAAAAGTAGGGACGGGGTTTAACAGTTGACAAGCCCTCACGAAATGTATTTGTACAAATAAATTTTGTTTTTTTTACTTGCTTCAAATAGGTATCCGATATAACCTCGAGTTCAAATAACCGCATCCATCATGCGCATCCTGGAAGATCAGAAGGAAAATTTGAAAAGGTAGCAACTGCTTCAATTGTAAGAACAACAGAATTTAGCGTTTTCTACTCAGACGCATATCAGATATTGGTTTCTTGATCCATTTGCGGCAAACAAGCCTGCAGATTGAATGTGTTCGTAGCCATAGATCATGCCAGGCAGTGAAAGGCATTTAGAGATGACTTATCGTTCCTTTCCGAATCAGTTCCTCTTAGAAGTGCACATGTTTGACGAAATATTAACGTGAGGTCTTTTCATCATACCGATTAAAAAGATTTATCCAACCTCTAAGCGCAATTGTGTACAAAGTCTTATTTGGCCTTTTGCATTGCATTTTCGTCGCTTAAACAAGTTTAGCACTGAGCTTCTCCCCTAGACGCAACATATCACAATGAAACTCACAGACTAAAGGACAAAATAATCATAAAACTCGCTTAAATTCAAATAACGCTGACATCGTATGTAACCCAAAGTGAAGAAGCTTAATCGGTCCCAGTGCTTTATCTGTAAAAGTCAAATCGAGCTACTGCAATTACTTGCTTTATTCAGTTACACATATCGGATTTTGTGAAATTCATAGATTTTTTATTCCTTTAGGATATTTTAATAAGCAGAACAAAAGCATTATTGATACATTCTGATATTTTTATATGAATAACAACATAGACTGAGAGGTATAAGTATAAAGATAGTAACTGCGTGCATAAGGCTCTTCAAGTCGACAGTTGCCTCCTCGTTACTGTCACGGATTGGCTTATTGGCACATGGAACCGAGGCAACTCCCAGTACAGCAGAAATTGCTTGTACCGCAAGGTAGGCCCCTCGCCTTGCACGGCTTACAGTTTGGACCCACTGACCCAGGAGGGCAGCGTTCTGAGGATGGAGTTGGAATGCAACCATTGATTTCTAAAATAGAAACAAGTAAGGCATATAAGGATACTGT